AATCCTATTTTTCACGTCATATTTATTAATTTGATCAAGGATTTAATTAATATTATAAATAAATATGGAGTCAAAGTAAAATTCTATTCCATAGCTATAATTCAGAACCAGTCACATTAAGCATTGGTAATTATTAGTTAATTGTTTTGACTTTCGAGGATTTACCTTAATAGAACATACTTCTCGCATATAACTATTTACATAATATTTTACATAATGATGAGGTGTCAGAATGTAAGTGTGCAAATTATTTGGTTAATAAAATTTCGATCCAATTAAATTTCGCCACATCATCTAGGTTAAAATGTGAATAGACGCGATGAAGTTTTGTGTTGTGATAATGCAATGTTGAAATCAAAGTATGAAATAAAACTTATTAAACCCTAGTTTTTATTTTTATTTTTATTGAACCCTAGTTCAAAGTTAATTTGGATTTCAATGAGATTTAAAGCGTGAAATCATCGCTGGAAGTTAGCTCAAACAATACAGGACTTCTACAAGATGGTAGTTCATTTAAAAACATCAATATTTTTATTTCAATATTTCGCTTAAATTTTTGAATTCTAATACCATACCAGTCTCGAAATTTATCTTATATGAACTTATGGTCTTCATAGGTAATTAAGCAATATGAAATTTTACTCTAAATATTTATTATTTTTTTATGACTGAAATATATTATCGATAAGATTGCGACTTCTATTCCATTTCACACTCTAGCATTTGAAGTCAAGAAGACGAGCTTTAGCTTATGTCTGATATATTTTACTTTAATTTAATTTATGTTTCATATTCATTTTCAATTACACATTCACATAATAAAATATTCAACACGCAAATCGAAATTTTATCCTATATTTTAACCACACAATCTCCAAAAAAAAAAAAAAAATTTAATTTTATAGAGGTCATGTTAAGGATTATTATTGAGAGCAATTACCCGAAACCCAAGCCAACTCCACCAGGTCCAAGTGAGGTTCCATCCCAAAACCAATTGGTAATCGGTGGAGTAGCCAACTTGGATTATATGGTGGATTTATTTTCTTCCCACAACCGATGTGGGACTTGTTTGCCCCAACAATCCCTCCCTCAAACAAGGCTCACGAGGTAAATCGCCACTCATCGAGATAATCCATCGTAGCCTGCACCCACTACGTTACCATGGATCTACCANATCCCTCCCTCAAACAAGGCTCACGAGATAAATCACCACTCATCGAGATAATCCATCGTAGCATGCACCCACTACGTTACCATGGATCAACTATCTCATGAGAATTTCTCACCACCTCGATTTATCTAGCCACACAACCTGAGCTCTGATACTACTGTTAAGGATTATTATTCAGAGCAATTACCCAAGATCCAAGCCCACTCCACCAGGTCCCAATGAGATTCCATCCCAAAACCAATTGGTAATGGGTGGAGTAGCCCACTTGAATTATATGGTGGATTTATTTTTTTCTTACAACCGATGTGTGACTTATTTGTCCCAACAGGTCAAACACTGGCTTAGTGCTCCAAATGTGGCCTAAATTCCACTAAAGAATAGAATGATGGTGTTTGGTTCCATGTGATCTCAAAATCAGGAGTATTAAAAATGTATGCCCAATCTCAAGGGCTCTAATTTAAAGTAAGCAATTCCTAGATATATTTTTTTGTATAAAATTTCAGTACCATGAATAATACTAACAAATATTGATATCCTAACAGGGAAAACCCATAAAATATCCTGCAATCATAGGTGGGAAATTGTCAAAAAAAAAAAAAAAAGCAAAAATCAAAATATAGACAATTTCGTATTCACTTTTCTATATTAAAAGCGGGCATTAACTAATGGGATAATTGCAGCTACGGTCCCAAATCTTTCAGATTTTTGCGCACTTTACTCTAACCTTTGATTTGTGCCAACCACAGTCCCAAACCTTTTCAGAAATATGCGCCGGATGTCCAAATGGATGATTTCCATCCATTTGACCGTTAGTTTGACCGAGATAGTGAACTTTGACTCATTTTGACAAAATTGAAAAGGGCAAAATTGTAACTTTACAATTAAAACATTAAATAAATAAATTAAAAATCCAAAAATAAAAACCCCACCCCAC